TTTTACAAATATATAGCTCTTTCATAAACTGAAAATGTGACATAGTTACTTTATTTTAGAATAAAATTGAAATATAGGCTTGGAAAGCACATAATATTGCCCCTTTAAGGGATTTACCAACTATGTGGAGCCATGGGGTGGCAGGTRGGACCCTCTGAGTAAACACTCCCCTAACCTAACCATAAACTTAATTCACACCTTAGTCCTAACCCCAACCATAACCCACAAATAGCATTTTTCTTTTGTGTGGACTAGACAAAAATTCCACACAAGTGTGGTTTAATGTCAAAATATGTCCACACAAGAACAGCTAAACATGTGCACCTTTGTTGTGCTGCATCATGTGTCCAGCTTTCACACTAGTGACAATCAGATATTTCACACAGAGTTACAAACTGCAGGACGGGGAGGGGTGGGATCCAGAAAGAAGTATTTGTTTGTGTCACTCACTCTGATTCAAGCCACTGACACATCTGTAATGTTTAAAGCCTGTATTTCACGAACACAAACAGCTCAAGAGTCCCCAGTCTCACTAACTCACTAATTCTSTACAGGCTGTAGACTTGTGTTAAAATATCTTTTTTTTTTCCTGCAGAAAAATAAACATGTGTAAAGCAGACACACATTTGGAGAGTGCATCCTCCAACGCAACTGACCAAGCATCAGACTCCAGCACATAGTTACTTWGTGTTACCGGGCCAATCTCCAGAAAAACAGACACACAAACAYAGTAATAACTGCCAAAACAAGCAGTTTAGATTCCAACACGGCGGCTTGGATCAACTAAAATATTGCGTAAACAACTCTGTGCAAAGCAGGACCAAATGTCTTTGGTGATTTATTTTCACAGTCAGGTCAATGGATTTATTACCACAGCTATCTGAAATCCAGACACAGGCTTCTTCTCAGTTCTGCTGAGGTTGTAAAAAAAAAGAGCTGCATGGAGAAAGTTTCTTCTGTTCCATGTGCTGCAGTAAGCTGGAAACATAGGAACGAGGTGGTAATGTAAAGAAAGGAGGGGGGACGAGTAAACGTACTGCAGCTAAAGCCTATCAGTCTTTCATTAGAGAACGAGGCAGTTTGTCTTCTGCTCCTCCATCTGATCAACTTCAAACCCTTTGGAGTCAAACAGCAAAAACTTAAAAAGTCAGAACTTCGACTGAAACAAGACAATTATATTTATTTTTAGACTCCAGTCGTTTTCACCCACAAAAAGTAAAAAGGTGATCATGTTTTTACCTTTKAGTCTGTGCCATTAGCAAAATAYCTCATGAAGTAATCACTGGGTATAGTACATTTACAGCYGATTAATTTTGGAGGCAACCTCATTCAAAAAGGCCACCACAACTTACTAAACTATAGGAAACACCAAAAAGGCTAAAACTCAGTCAAATTTACAAACACTGAGCTMAAGTTTGGTGTTGCAGGAGCAGAGTTGTACCTCGCACTCTGTTAGCACATTTCACCTGACCCCACAATGTCAAATGATTGTACATTTAAAAAGTTTGACCAATAAAAAGGTCCTTCTCTTTCCTTTCTTTCTTAGGTTATATCGCATTTTTTTTCTTCCTTACATTTTTTCGCACGTATGTCATTCCGCAACTTTTGTGCTATTTCAATAATACATATTTCAAAACATATTTGTCCTTCAGGACATTCCGGCTATGACTTTTGGTACTTTTTGAAAATATTTTTCTTTTTCAAACATGTTTTTCTCATTGAAAATGAACGGAGCTGTCTTTAACATCCTTAAAAGTGCCTGTGACACGAAATCTTTAAAATAAATACAAAGGCATAATTGGAAAGACAATATTATTAGCATATTGCAAAAATAATTTCCCGCTGCTGAGATGAACAGTTGTTGAGATGTTTGCATGTGAAGCAACAGGAAGTGATGTCAAAGGGGAATGCCTGCATGGAACAAAGCATTGATAAAATAGCTAACGACACAGACTGTAGGACGGATCTGATTTTTCTTTAGATTATTTTGAGTCACTACCAGAGAGATGAAGTCGAGTCAGAGTTCAAATAACATTGTTTCAAACAAAGATTACAGAGTTCTCTTTCTTAAAGAGTTCCCGTTTGATGTCACTTCCTGTTGCACTTTGGTTGAGCAAAATTCAAAAGAAAATGTGTCATTTATGTGACAAAATGGGTAAAATCACATCTTATGCAAGGTTTCTTATATAAAAATGTGTTTCTTTGACTTTTTGTATTTGATGGATAGGCATGTCACAGGCACTTTAAAACCCTTCAAAACATTCAGAAATCTTTACTGCACTTTTTACCTTTTGTTCTAGTTCTGCTTTTTTAACTTCTTTTTTTTTGATCAAAGTATTTTTTTTTATTTTTCAACATAATCCACAATAAAAAACAAACAACAAACTAACAAAAACACAAACACCCGAAATCCCATCCATCCCACCCCTTCCTATACCGGATCTACTGAACAACAAAAATCGATCTTGCATTAATACAAGAGATATAATAAAAAAGGTTTGTGTACAATGAAACAATATTTAACCTTTACACAAAGTTATCTGCCGAAATTTTTTCTACATAAGATAAAAATGGCTGCCAAATGTCAAAAAATTTGTTTACAGATCCCCTAACAGTATATCTAATATTCTCTGAATGTAAGACATAACTTCTCTTAACCAATGACCATATACTGGAGGATGTGGATCCTTCCATGCTTATTTAACTTCTCTGTGCTAATTTCAGCTTCCTTCAGCTAATCTCAAATTTTTTTTGCTTCTTTCAGCCATTTAAAGCTTTTGATGTTTCTTTCAGCTGCTGTGTGCTAATTTCCAATTAGCGGTCTCTGCAGGACATAGGAGGAGTTCCTTGTTGTGTGGGCGGAGTTTGTCCTAACTGTGATTGGTAGAGTTCTTTGTGTGGGCGGGGTTTGGTATAAATGTGATTGGCAGAGTTCTTGATGTGGGCGGGGTTTGTCAAAACAGTGATTGGTGGAGTTTGGATAATAGGTGGCGCTTGGGGGTGGGTGGAGCTTAGCAAAACTGTGATTGGTCAGAATGACTTGTCTTTTGGGGCAACTTAAAGGAGGAAGTAATGCTAATAGTAAAATGATCCTGAACATTTAATAAAGATTTATTGACTGTCTATGTACAGTTTAAAACAGAATAAAGWGTCAAACAAAAATTATTGTGAACACGTCAACATAATTTATTAACTCTAAACACCTCCCTGTCTCAAGTTATGAATAATATAWTATTAATTCATACTAATATTTAGCAGTCTTTTTACAGGCTGGTTAGGGCTGTTTTGACCGAGCCGAATTCATGCACGGCATTTAAATTTCGTGACAGTTTTCAACAATCCTCCTGTCTCAACTTATGACTAAAATTTGTATTTATATTTAAAAAATATTCCTGGACATTTCAACAAAGCTACTTCCAGCTGGCCCCAGCTTCTTCAAATCCCACCCAAAATATTCAACCAAACTAATCATATCTTGAGAAAGCTCCGCCCTCAACTGTAAAACACACCAATCACGTCTCGGACAAATTCCTCCCACAAAACAGGAAACTCCTGGTTCGTAAGTGCAGAGACCCCCTTCTCCCAATTTCAGCTGTTTGTCACTTTTTATCTAATTAGATTTTTGTGCTAAATTTCAGCTGCTTTTTTTAAAAGTTATTTTTAGAATGGTTTCAGCTTTTTTATCTATTCAGCAAAAAAAAATTCCGCATTAAGCACTCTCACTGCATTTCTGCAGCAAATGCAAATTCTCTAGTTATTATAACAAACACAGCCATCTCTTCTTTCACATTAGTCTCGTGTTTCAAACTGCTTCTTGCTAAAGTCAAATTTTGATTTATGGTCTAAATAAAACAGAACTTTATTGATGATTATTTACTATTTAAAAGCTCTTAAATTATGTTTAACAGTAACTGACTTTCATTGTTTTACTTTTCTGCTAAAAAGGAAAATGTGTTTTAAGGATTTCTTCTCTYCTAAGGTGTCACACATGATTACAAAACAGTTTTTTATTCATTACAGTAATATGCATTATTAACATAACCTTCATACAGTACAACCTGTCAACGTTTTTTTAACACAGAGTCTTATTTGGAATTAACCTCAGAAAAGCAGCCAGTCCCTGAACTTTTACCTACATGTTGTTTTTGCCAAAAAACAAAACAAAAAAAAGGAAAGGTAAAATTTTATTTTTATGTTATTTTAAAACTACTACGTTTATTACCATATAATACAACAGAAACAGTTTTGAAAAGTGTTGTTTAAAAGGAAAAAGATGACAGGTTTTGTAGTGTTTTCACCTTTTTACTGACACATAAAGGGCAGTGACCTGTCCAGCTCTGGTAAATGTGTAAACTTTCTTCCATCTTAGTTCTCTAAYAAGAAACCAGTTCATTTAAGAGCTGTTTTCTTTACAGGTTAAAATAATTTCTTATTAAGACTGAGGCAGACCCACATAAAATATGTTTTCTTACATGTTTCTTTAAGTTGAAACAAAGTTTTTCTCATTTCTACAAGGAGCCACTGTTTAAAAAAAAAGAAGAGACATAAAGATGCACCGGACCTGAACGAGTGCCACTCCGGTCATCAGGATCAGCAGGGAGAGCCACTGGTAGACCCCCAGTCTACGGCCCAGCATGGACACGGAGAACAGAGCCGTGGTCAGGATCTTCAGCTGGTAYGTCACCTGATGGACACAAAGTGTGGAAGCTGAAACCCAGAACTGTGGATCCAAGCAGCGGGTACACCGGCCTCGATCATACCTGGTAGGTGGCTGCGTCCAGGTTGGACAGGGCCACGTACAGCAGGTTGTTCTGCAGCGTGTAGATCCCCGAGGGGATGGCCAGCTTCAGCGTTTCTATGGGTTTGTGCAGGATTTCCTGACGCAGAACGCTGTTCAATGCTCGCATACTGTAACCTGAAAAAAACAGGGGRAAAAAGACCAGTTTGATGCATCAAATTTGTTTAGTAGCTTTAACCAGAACATTTTAAAAAGTGTATTAAAAACAYGACATTAAATCTACTATTACACCAATTCCTTCAAATTTCAGAGAAACCAGTGGTTCCTACATTATCTTAGCCTGGTTTAAACCAGACCCTGTCCTTCACTTTGCTTCGTACAAGGGTCTGGACTTGCTGCATAGAGAATCGTTTCTTGTAGGAGGCGTGGCCTCTGCTGAAGCGTGTGTGTGTTGTCGCTGTGAAGGAGGCTAAGTTAAGAAGCTAACCAGAAGTCTCGTGTGCTGTAAACAACCCTACTGAGAAGAGAAAAGTACCGAGCTGAACGAGACGACTGTAAATGAGAGCTGCTGCTTTGTCAGACAAATTTATTTTAATTTGGAGGCCTTATCAACACGGACTGGCTTCATTCACTTCCTCCACTGCTGTATGCTAAACTAACTAGCAGACACTGCGCAGAACATCTACGTCATTCAAAACTCCTCCTTCTGTTCTCTGATTGGCCCAGGTAAAATGAACTACAAGCAGACACTGCGCAGAAAATTGACGTTCTGTTCTCTGATTGGTCCGGCTAAAAATCTGCCAGTGAAATCCTTCTCTAAGGGAGAAGTCCCAGACGGAGCAATGAAGGGAAACTAGAATTGAGCAGAGCTGCGTAGGAAGGCAAGGGCCAGGCTAACATTATCTACCAGGTTTTTAGTTTTTGTTGTTGTTGGGTTATGCTGTGTTTGAGATAAACTAAAGTTGTTTAAACATACTGCAATGATAAAACCCAACGTAATGAATTGTTTTTTTGGCCTCAAACCAGCTCTAACCACTCAGGACAGGAACAAAACATCAGGGCAGTGTTTGTGAGTGCCGCTGGCTTCAGATTTGGAAMCTGGGTGTATTTCAGCACCTCAACACACTGCCAGTTAAATAAATATTACGATTGTACCACCATGTACATCTCAGATGCCTCATGTTTCCAGCACCCCGTTCGTCTCTGGCAACTTCCAACACCATCTGTCCTTCTCTGTCTGAGATACCCCTACCACAAGTTCCCTTAAGGAGRCATGTCATGCTTTTAAATCCTAATTTTTCCACATTTAAATCCTTCAGTTGGAGTGCTTTGGTCTGAATTCCTCCTTACTGTAACTCCACAAGCCCCTCTTTCACTCCTTTTCTGAGGTGTGTCTCAAATCAATTCGTTTTGAGGCTGTCTCTTTAAATCCAAACAAGGCACTTCACACCCTTCCAGCTTCCAGAGTGGTCCATTTTAGTTTAACAGGGGAGTTTATGACTATACAGCTGCACAGAAACTTTTTATTTACAAATTAATTAGAAGTTGTCAACGAGGGAAGACTTGTCCATCCAGCTGTCTGACCCAAAGAGAGAATGAAGACAACAAAATGTACTTATTGGCTAACAAAGTGGATTTTGCATGATATGTCACTCTTAAATTAATTGAAATTGTAGAGGGCAGTTTTATCCTTACAGCTGATATAAACTGAATGACAATCAAATAAACCACCTTTCAGACAGCTGATTATAAGTTCAGCCARTAATGAAAAACACCTGCAGTCTAGCAGCAACTATCTCTGATACAGAGGAATGCTCGACTCACTGTGCTCCTTAAAGACCAGCAGTACACAGGTGATGATCTTCATGACTTCCGCCACCACCACCGCGGAGGAGGCCAGGTACCGCGGGCCGTCGGCCTGCAGGGTGCGGGAGTACCGCATGGTGAGCACCAGGGAGGTGGTCTGGAAAACCAGCACGCCCAGGGACAGGTACTTCAGGCGGGATGAAGCCATGCCTGCGGCTCGCTGGGAAACAARCACGCACCGGCGGTAAATGAATATGAATGAGACGTAAAGAGAGGGAACTCTGAAAGAGACAGGTGAACTCTCACCTGTTCTGTCGCCGTCACAGGTTCGTCTCTGCATAAAAGTGAACTCTTGGGTGTAGTTTGTACCTCTGTGGTCTGTCTTTGTGTCAGACAGATGAGGTAGTGGATCCAGCTGTCAAAACAGCAGCTCAACTATCCGACAACCGACCGGCCTTTTCACGAACATTATCTCCCCAGGCTCTCCGCACCGACTGTCATAACGTTTTCTGCCATTAAAATTCAGCTATCTGACATAAACTAAATACACACACGGTGGAGAGAAATGAGAAACACCAGGAAAGCGTATCATGCCTTTTACAAGTAAATCTTACACAGCTTCCGTGTTCTTTCTCTTCTTCTTCGGTTGGATAGAATGGTAGTTGACGAACTGACTGACAGATGCACTACCGCCACCTACCGGATGAGAGAATGAACTGAAGGATGCGCTGAAATTAGCAGGGCTGAAGAGGCAGAACACAAAACGTGGTCCAAACTTGGTCATCTGTCATTATGTATTAAAAACATGTTAAATAACAAATTATTCTTAAAGAAATACAAACGGACTTTTCCAAAAATATGTAATGTAGCATTTAGACATTCAAAATAAATAAATTTAAAAAGACATCATAAGCATTCATTTCTTATGCCTTGCTC